GATGACCCCAAGTGTGGCACTTGAAGCACTTCACATGTTTGAGCCTCTCTTCTTCTTTTATCTTCTTGAGCTTCTCAATGTTAGGGCAACCATTTGCAAGGTGTCCCGCTTCATGACACTGGTAGCATATGGTATGAGAGAGCTTTATTTGTTGTAGCTTCTTCATCTTTCTTTCTCTCTTTCTTTCGCCCTTTGTCATCTTCTTCTTGAAGCCAAGGCCACACTTGTCACAATAGTTTCTTTGAGTCTTCAACATGTGCTCAAATGTGACTTTTGAGTTGTAGCACCTCTCTAACTTGTTGCTCAAATTCTTCACTTTATTTTTGAGCTCATTGTTCTCCTTCAAAAGGTTAGTCTCACAAGACATAGAAGTAGAACAAGCATCTATTTGTGAAGAACATGACATTTCTAATAAATCATCACAAGAGGTGGATACATGCTTCTTGCCTACATCACAAGGGTTAGCAACAACATGTGATTGATCAATTGACCCATGTGATGAGTTCTCACTAGTTTTAGTTTTTCCATTGGAAAGCTCCTTAGTGAGAAAAACATGGTCGTGTACCAAGTTATCATGAGCAACACTAAGTTCCTCATGAGCCAATTTTAGCTCCTCATGTGTACAAGTAGTAACATAAAGTAGATGCTTTTGTTGTTCACATGTGTTCTTTAGAAAAGAGTTTTTATTTTTCAATTTCTCGGTTTTAGCCATCTCCTTTTCTAGAGCTTTGATCATGCAACCATATCTATTTAGAAGCTCCTCATATGAATCAAAATCAATCATATTTGCATTAGATACCTTAGTGTCACCCTATGACATGAAGCAATGTGATGTAGTTGGAGAGCTTGTAGTAGCATCATCATCATGGCTTGAGCATGAACCAACATCGTCAAGATCACCACCAAGTATGCTTGGGGTAGAATTTTCTTGTGCAACACTTGTGGCATCATCAACTTTGTCAAGTGATCTTGTGGTAGTATGATCATCATCATCACTTGACCATGAGGTGGAGCAATCTTCCACAATCACCAAATCATGATCATGCTCACCACACTCATGCACCTCCTTCTTGGGTTCATCATCATCATCATTGGAGACACTCCCATATATTAAGTTGAGGTACAACCAAATATCATGGGCGGTCTTCATGTACATGATCTCCCCAAATATGTTATATTTCATGGATTGATAGAAAATGTTAGTAGCTTGGCAATCGAGATGTAGGCATTTCTTTTGCGCTTTAATTACATTCTTTTCATCTAACGCATGAGAAAAGCCCACATCTACGATCCACCACATTTGGGGGGAAATAAACTTAAAATTGCATGTCATCTAATTTTTCCACCGTGCAAACTGTGTGCCATCAAAAGTGTATGGACACTCAACATCTAGCCCATAAACCGTCATTCTCTCGGGTCGGTGAAGACCACAAATGAGAGATCTAGCTCTGATACCACTTGTAAGGGTGAGATGGCGATTAGAGGGGGTGCATAGTCGTTTCTAAATTTAATCACGTCGGCTAACCAAAACAAATGCGGAATTAAAATAATTCGGTCTAGCCAAGACTACACCCCTCTATCAAAGTTCACAAGCGCCTTATAAAGATCCTAGTTAGACAACAAAAGTGCCAGGCTAGCTAGAGCTCACCTAACCAATTCTACAAATAAGGTCACACAAACCTATGCCACTAGTACTTCAAGCAATGAGAGAGCTCCTACACATGCTAGTAAGCAAAAGCACAAAGCCACCTAACCTCACTAGCAATGTTCAATAACAAGGCAACCAATGCCCAATTAGAGAGCGCAAATACTTAGCTACACAAACTAAGCAATGTGACTAACAAGGTTACACATACCAAATTAGCCACGCAAGAGAGCTACTTCTATGCTATACAAGCAAGAAGGTAATTAGTGAGCTACATAAGCTAACAAATTACAAGAGCAACTACACAAGCACAATGCATATGAAATGTAAATACAAGCTTGTGTAACGAGGATGCAAACCAATGGTAATACAAGGATGACACGATGATTTTTATCCCAAGGTTCACGTGCTTGCCAACATGCTAGTCCTCGTTAAGACAAGCTCTAAGGTTGCCGCCGGTCCTCTTGCTAGTGGTGACCCGCAAGTCACACTCTTCCACGTGGAGTGCTTAGCACAAGCTCTAGCACTTGACCCGGCCAGACCACTTGTCTCTCTTCGTGTCTCGCTTTACTAGAGTTGCGCTTCGCGGCTCCCGCGGGGCGAGCACAATGCCCCTCACAAAGCTCTTCTCCAAAGCACCACACAAGTTTCTTGCGGGCTTCGATGGAGACCACCACCAAGCCATCTAGGAGGTGGCAACCTCCAAGAGTAACAAGAATCACCGGCTTCCAACTCGATCACTTAGTGCCACTCGATGCAACCTCATGATACAATTGCACTAGAATCGCTCTCTCACACAATCGGATGATCACTATCAAGCATATGTGAGATGGAGGGCTCCTAAGCACTCTCAAGCATGGACACAAAGTCCCCCAAGGTGCTCAGCCATAGCCATGGCTGAGACCACCTTCTATTTATAGCCCCCACAAAAATAGAGTCGTTGTACCCCTTCACTGGGCACAACTTGGGGTGACCGGACGCTCCAGTCAGATTGACCGGACGCACCCGGTCCAGTGTCCAGTCAACGGATGCATGCCACATGTCGCCTCCATTCAACCTCAGTCGCTTGATCTCAACGGTCAGTTGCCACGCGCCAATGGTCAAGTGATGACCGGACGTAGCACAGTGCCAAGACCGGATGCACCTCTGTCGGGTCCGATCATTTCTAGAGAGCTTACCGAGCCTCTATTTTGTGACCGAACACGTCCGGTGCTGTACGACCGGACGCAACACTTGAGTCTGGTCATTCTCCGACTGCCACGCGTCACTGTTGTTCCTCATGCCATCGCGTCAGCGTACGTCAGCACTGACCGGACGCAGACCCTGAGCGTCCGGTCACGAGACCAAGACCGCGCGCTCACTGTTGCCACTAACCGGACACGCTAGTCCTGCCGAGGCCAGCGTCCGGTTACTCACAATGACTTCCTTTCTCCTCTGTTTCTTCGCCGAGTTGATCCACATCAACTCTAACTTCTTCTCCTTTGTAAATGTGCCAACACCACCAAGTGTACACCACCATGTGTATGTGTGTTAGCTTTTCACAAATATTTTCTAAAGGATTAGCCACTCAACTTGCCATGCCACTCGACCCTAGCGACGATGCAAAGTTAGATCACTCAAGTGGCACTAGATGACCGATATGCAAACAAGTTTGCCCCTCTTGATAGTACGACCATCTATCCTAGACCCGGTCGTCAACTTCTTTACACACTTATGACCGGTGAAATAAAATGTCCTAGGTTATACCTTTGCCTTGCGCATTCCATTCTATCTCCTAAAATGTCAATGCAACACATGCACCAACACGATCAACAATGATATAATCCACTTCATATCATCACGTGATCATATTGGTTCATCGATCTTGACTTCACTTGCTTTTCACCGTTGTCGTCGTCCATCGGCGCCAAGTCTTGCTCAAACTTCACCGCCACGCGGTCCATCGCTCCAAAGCCTCCGACTTGCCATTCACTCTTGCAACCGGTCCATCAAGCCAAGTCATGTCTTGATCTTCTCCACCTTGATCACATGACTCAATGTCATGTCTCATGTGCAATGAGCTCCTTCATCATCACATGTGTGAGCTTTGCAACATCTCCGAGCCATTTCCACCTTCATGGCATATGTTGCTCACACACATGTACCTATGAACTAATCACCCGTGTATCTCACATAAACACAATTAGTCCACCTAGGTTGTCACTCAATTACCAAAACCACACAAGGACCTTTCAAGCTCCCACCATTTTGCTAAAGAGGCAAGGTCTTGTTGTGGCCATTGCACTGAAAACTTTTCCTAAGACAGCACCCGATCCCAGACGGCTTTTGTGAAGGGGCATAGCAAGGATAGATGAAAGCCTGTCTCCAAAGGACCGTTACACAAGGCACAATGGTCCTGGTGTGGCCAATCTCTCGTTTGTATATTATCCGCCGTTAGGATTTTATTGTGTAGGAGGGTCTAGGTGTGGATTTTACACTTATTTTCCGCCCTCACCTTCCAGATGAGTTCATGATAGAATTTCCGGTGTGAACCACGGAACTGTATCCTGTACGCCGAGTGAGTGGGATAATTGCCATCATGTGTCTATTTTCAAGTAATCGTGTCATGTACAATAGACCGCAACTGCTCATAGAATTAGTTCTCATTCGTTTTTTGGAAGGGTCTAAAAGCTTTGCCAAAATATATTAGTAGGAGAAGGTAAAAAAAGATGTACAAAATATTTATAGAACATGAGAACCCAAAAGACACACAACGAAAGCACAACCAGCCGAACAACGTCTGTCCACACAAGACTAAAAACACAGGCTTGTTATCCATGTAGATCATTCTTCTTCGATTAGGTAGGCATTTCGATCGGTTGTAGCTCTTTGTACTGAAATGTTCTTCAGTTTTTTCTTCCATATATTCCACCAGAAATATATTAAGATCCCGTCGAACTCATTTTCTTATGTCCTTATCAATTATTCTCTTCTCAATTTTCTTCAACATTTGTAGACCGACTGTGAGTTTGTACTCACCTGTGGTGTTAAGTTCCACCCACTTACAGATAATTGCCCATTTTTTTTGGTTGTAGGTGTAATCTTTGCATAAATGCTTTGGATTGTTAAGATTGTTCGTCTCCTCGAAATACGGGACGGTGACTTATTTGGAGACCGTCGGAGTACTCGGGTTAAAATTCTGTGGCACATTTGGGGTGTTGGTGTGCAAACAATAATAGAGACAAAAGTGGAGTAAAATGTGAAATTGGACGGCTGCAATCTGCAGGACTGCAGCTGTGTGCAATTCGACCGTAGCTCAGCGTTCCCAAAAACCCGAGAGAAACCTATAGCTTCCCTTTTCCCTTTTTCCCAGCCAATGGCGACACCGCCGCCGCTGGCGGTGGATGTGCGCTGCGCGGGCTGCGGTGAGACGCTGGAGGTGGAAAACGGGACCACCGACTTCGCACGCCCGGGCTGCGGCGCCGCGCAGCGCCTCCCTCCGGAGCTCATGCCGCCGCCGCCGCGCCCGCGCCGCGCCATCCCTCTGCCGGCGGCGGCCGGGCGCGCGGCTGCTGCGGCGCACGACCGCCCGCGTGCCGTGCGGCTGCACCGGTGCCCTACTCACCGCGCCGCCGGGGCTTGGAGGCTGCGCCTGCCCAATCTACGGCGTCAGCGGCCTCCAGAGCCTCAGGTACTTCGGATTATTGCTGGAGCATTTCCTTACAAGTCACTAATTTGGACATTTGGATACAGAGCTCAACTGAACTTGCTTTCAGTTAGCTGGGATATAAATGGAGAACAGCTAATCGAAAGTACTCTTGAGAGGCCAGCACAATGCCAAAATGACCTTAATAGGGGAATCTGTCTTCGGTAATTTGGTTTTGAGTTAGCTGAAAGTTTGACATCTGAGCTTGAGATAGCTCAAGAGAGGTAACTAGGCAGGTTCTAGTGAACGCTTGGTTGTTGAAATTAGCATTTTACACTAATCAACCTTATGTTTTTATCCATAATTATCGATCTAGATACATATTTCACAACTTATATTTATCTATTCACGCATTCCCTAATGTCAACGTTCAATGGAATCAGGTCTTGGGAGACCCCCAAAGTCATGCAGGACAGGTGCATCCAGAAAGGTATAAAGCACCCATCCACCTCGAGTAGTCACAAGGATGGCGTCCTAACCATTCAGCCTATAGAGATGAGGCATTGAGTTCATTAAGAGCAGATAAAGGAGTATGTGGCGAGGCTGCTCAAGGCGACTCCTATAGTCATGTTCATGTGGACTTGCATGTTGAACCACTTCAAACTTCATCCCTTGTGGTCGGAGACTCTGACCCTCCTTTGAAGCAACGTCGCCTTCGTGGACCCCTTTCAAAAGGTACTCAGTAATGTCAATTGCCTGATCTTTTTGTGTACAACTCTGTTGTCAAATCCCTTTAGTGGAACATTTGCTAAGATGCTATAGATTCATGAACTAGAAAAGCTTTCAATTCCATTAGATGAATCTCTTGAATTTATGATTTTTGGGTTGCACTGCATAAGTTGGAAGATTTCACTCAGAATTTCGACCTATGCAATAACAGTTCTTAAGTCATAATTTTGAATCCAATTTCAAATCTCAAACATGTCATCTTTATACCACAGGATCTGTCTGAGACAGCTGGATGCAGTGAGCATGTACCACCTAGTGATGACATGGATGCGGAAGATGCTTCTCCAACAAAAATGAAAGATCCTGAGACGGGACTGTGGTTCACACCACAGGAGTACCAAGTCTTCGCCAAGCTCCGGACACGCACCTTCGAACATACCAAGGTATTCGACTCATCACTACTCACCAAAACAGGTATGGACGTAGAATTTGATTCTGTCTTTACTGCCATTGGATGGGAAGCTTTCTAGGATTTCACTCATGATCTAGGTAGTGAAATCCTCACTCTTGAATTTTTGAGCACCTTGCAATCATCACATGATGGAGTTTACTTCCGAATGTTTAACTATGATTATAGTCTCACATGGGAAGGACTAAAAATTGTTCTAGGTTTTGCTCAAAATTGCTCTGTAGATCTTGAGTTTGCCACTCGTAACTTTGATAAGCTTGAATTTTGGCATGACATCACTGAGCTTAATAATTGTGACAAACCACGAACCAATGATATTCATAATCCAACTCTACGTTTTCTGCATCGTTGGATAGGTGTAACTCTCTTTCCACGAGAAGATGTTAGAATTGTTAAAAATGATGATTTGAGAGTGATGTATGCTATGGTTCACAAAATTCATGTTGCACCTGTGAAAGTTTTGGTCGCACATTGGCTAAGTGTGTCGGAAAGAAAAGGACCAATTGAATTTACTTCTCTAATTTCTAGAATTGCAGAAACTTTGAGTGTGCTGTTAAATAATTGTGTGCAATTCATTTCCACACCTAGGAGTTTAATCACTGAAAAATATTTTAAGCAAGCTCACATGCTAGTAAAAGGTCCAAATAATTCTGTGAAAATGATGTATCTCGGCCATACAAGCATCATCCCACTTCCATGTGAGGATCTTTGGTTGTATAGGGCCGCTCAACTAACCCTTGATTTGGACCAAGGAGAGGTGCAAGGAAATTTTGCAGGAACTAGCACAGGACGACGAATGACACGCAGCATGGTGAACGCTGCACAACGTGCACAAGGTGGCACATCGCGAGGTCCGGGACTTCACTTTGTAGGTGAGGAGGAAACGTCGAGCTCCAGGCACAGCACGAGATCAAGCGGGACATGTCCACCACGACCTTCATGCACACGACGTGCACGAGCTTCTTGCTCGTCCGCACAGGAGGACTACCCGGGCTTGAGGCGGGATATGCACCAGTTCACCCATCAACTGGGTGAGATGCGTGTGGAACAGCAGGCCACATGTGTAACCGCCAACTCATCACGGCCAGGCAGCGTGAGCAAACCCACAACTGGGGAGCTTTCTGGGCGTACCACGGGATGGATCCACCGAATCCACCACAACCATGAGCAAAAAGATAAGCTTGGGGGAGGTTCCCTCCCCCACTAAGGTAAGTTTTTATTTTCCTGCATTTGCATCTTAGTTTAGATTAATTCAGTTCCTTTATTGCATTTTTATAAAAAATCTGCATATTAAAAATACCAAAAATATTTCCCTTTAACTTTCATAAGCTTCATGAATGATTATCCTCTCTTGAAAATGATGAATAATTGCTCTGTTAATGTTTCTCTAGTCCCTAGTTTACAACTTGGTATTTCTCTAAGTTTAGAATTCTTAGCTCATATGAAACCATTATGTACCTAAAACTTTGTGGGTTGCAAGTGGTAAAACTAAGTTGTTGTGAGACATGATATAGTAAAGACAAGAGCTGTTATAATATTGTTCCTAATGAGCATGATTGTCGGAGTTTTTATTTCTTAAAAATGATAAAAGCCTTGTTGTTCCTCAATGGTGATATTTTCCTACCAAAGCCATATATGATCTTTCATGATACAAACTTTCCACATATGCTACTTACTTTGTGTTGAGTTTTTGTCAAGTCTTGTTGACCCTTGTTAAGAGATTTATCATGCTCCCAAGATCAAGATCACATACACACCACATATATATATGCTGCTTCTACACTGGAAGTACGCAAAAATATGCCATCCATTTCCACCAAATAAATAATCCATGCTTAAAAAATGTGATCTCTCTCTAGATATATTTTAGTAGATGAGACAAATGGCTATGTAAAAGTATGAGATATATATATATATATATATATATATATAGTGATGAACACATGCAAGGTCATGAAAAAAAAAGAAAAAATGATAGCCATGTCTCAAAATAATAAACTAGAAAGAGAGATCATACCAAATGAAGGAGTATCATATTTTCCACATACCATGTTCCACACACATGCACATCTTGATTTAAGAGTATGACACTTCTCTCCTCGGATCCAAGCTTTGGCTTTACAACATATGCAAGGTAAGTATGCTACATCTTTTATCCTACCCAAAACTCCACGTATGCCATTAGAAATAGGATGAGAAGGCAATTCTAAAAAATATGTCTTGGTAAGGAATCATACACCATTTGAGCGAATGAGAGTACCATACAAAGAACATTAAGTTTTCTTTTGAAAAAACAATGCAAAAAACCTCCGATATGAAACTATTGCGGGACAAGAAAAATAGTGCTCAAGTTTAAGTTGTTCTATCTCTCAACAACCCAAGACAAGGTAAAGGCCATAAGCCCCATGGAGGACTAAGGTAATATGGGTGAGTTTTCAAGATTGCTAATTTTTCCATCCAAAGAGAAATATATTGTTGTACGCATGATACTATTGAAATGTGAAGCATAGTAGCAACTCCTAATCCACCGAGCTAAGTTTTAATTGTTTGCTCGAGGACGAGCAAAGGTTAAGCTTGGGGGATCTTGTTGATGGTGAAAATGTCACACTTTCATATACTCAAAATCTCCGTCAACAGCCTTGGATTAAAGGGAGATAATCATATCATGAGCATATTTTAATAAATAACAAGTTCCACTTGTACTTGAGTATTTTTATTCAGGTGAAAGCAAATTCGAGCAAATTGAGCTGGTGGACCCACATAGGGGGGGTGTCGGCCGACCCCACCTATGGACCCACCAACCACTCCATGTCACCACAATCCAAAAGAAGCAAGCTCAAATCAATTTCCACCCTTGGATCAAGCTTAGTCTTGACATTAAATTCAAGTGGAATATTGTTTTTTGTTATAAATTCATTCATGTAATTTATTTAATGGTGGATATCCAACCAATGTTTTGATTCTGTTGAAAACATTTGTGCATGTATTTTTTTTAATGCTGCTGGTTTTGTATATTTCCTGAACACCGTGTTAGAGTGTTGTATTCAAAAATTAAATTTCTATCTGTGTTGTATTTAAAAATTAAATTGCTATCTGTGTTGTATATATTTCCTGTGAACACAGTTTTGTTCAAAACTTTGATCTGATCTGCGTGCTTGCTCGTCTTGCTGAGATGGAGATTAAGTATTGATGTAACCAAATCCTAGAGATTTGTCTTCCAATGGGTGATGTCACAGTGTCACCATGGTTATGCCAGCGACAGTAGCTTAGGTATTATTCTGAGTTCTGAGTATGTTATTTAGGTGAAATGCAATCACTTTGACTTCAAGAATTTCCCCTCATCTCTCTAACTTACAGTATTTGAATATTATTCAGAATACAACATATACAGTACTCCAAATGGCTACAGGTGCTCATGGGGAAGCTGCTCAGCAATCAGAGCAAACTGTGCCATTGAACTTGCATGGGGTTAATCTATAGTAGCTTTAAACCACAAACTTGAGGCTAAAAAGAAGCATGGAAAGGACAGTGGCTGCTTCCCAGGGCATTCAAACTATGTTCGACTCAAAACTTCAAGGACGTGTGATTTGTGGATTTTCTTTTCCTGCAACTACTTTGGTGAACTACAGATTTTCTTTTCCTAATGGATAGTGGTTTATGCACACTGTGCTTCGGTTCATTGTTTTATAACGTGATTACTAACTATTTCAGTTTTGATGAAGGATGGAATTTCCATTAGGATACTACGAAGCAGCTGCACAATTTACTTGCATCTCTATTGATTCTCGGTGTCGGTGCGAAAAGTGACCAATAAGTAAATATTTGTCGTTTTGCCGTACGTTGTGATCGGATGTGGCCTAACACTCAATGACACATGGTTTATACTGGTTCAGGCAACGTGCCCTACGCCTAGTTTGAGTCGGTCGGTAACTTTATTCCTGAGCCTAGGTGCTCGAAGTTTGATGTGGGGTTACAAACGAGTGGGAATAAGATAGGAGGTGTCAGAGGTCCGGTCGGACTCTGGATTGAAGGGCCAAGAGTGACGGGAGCTCCAACGTGCGCTAAGTGTTCGAACGTATGCTCTGTGTAGCTTTAGAGTTCTTGAGCTGTGAAGCTGTTCGAGTGCTCAGAACGTCTAAAGCTTAGCAGAGAGAGTCGGAATGAACCATCTGTCGTTCGTCCTCCTCTTAGGAGGGAGCACATCCTTTTATAGGTGAAGGGGATGGGCTTACAAGTGAGAGAGAGTGTGTGTGAGAGAAAGAGAGCGTGTGTGCTACCTAGTCTTGTTGCCCATGCCGTTGGGTACAAGACTGTTTGTCGGCGCCCATAATATTGTTGACGCCCAGATGCATGTGGTAGGCTCCATCGTGTTCTTCTAGTACGGCAAATATCGGCGTCTACCATACTGTAGGACAAATGTTGGCGCCCACAACACTGTTCGTGTTCTGACATGTCTGGAAGGTTACAAAACACCCTTTTGACATGGCCTGACAGTATAGTCCTACAGGTGTGCAGGGTACGGCCCGCGGTATGGCGGTTGACTTGAGTGCCTCACCTTATCTGCTCTGCCTAATTCTTGGGTTCTTACCGAGCGGGCGTCCCCGTTCGGTCGTTCCCAGTCGGCTCCGACCACGCTAGTCGGAGAAAGAGCTGTAAGTAGAGGTTCGATGTACTTCCGGTCGGAGAAGCGGGTCAGAGTCGAAGCGAGCGTCGTCCCCTCCTTGGCCAGGCATTTCGGTCAGAGAAGCGGGCCGGAGTCGAAAGCGAGCGTCGTCCCTTCCTTGGCCAGGCCTTCCGGTCGGAGAAGCCGGTCGGAGTCGGAGGCCTTTCGGTCGAAGACTGGATCATTCTTCCGGCCTATCATTAGGTATCTGGGCCGGCCCAGGAGTTGCGCGTCGTCTATAATGCCGTCTGCTGGGCCGAGCTTTTGCTGGGAAGCAGGTCTATTAGGGACCCCGGGTTTATGAACCCGACAGGAGCTCCTAAGCCCCCGGGCGATTCGAGTAGAATCGTCTGGGTTTTTTTTTGTCAGCGGGTGCGCGCGAGCGCACCCGGTGGGTGTAGCCCCTGAGGCCCCGGGCGATTTGGGTAGAATCGTCTGGGGGTTTTGACTTGCCAGCGGGTGCGCGCGAGCGCACCCAGTGGGTGTAGCCCCCGAGCCTGCATCCGACTTGTTAGTCAGTTGGAGGCTAAGTATCTTGGCACTCTTTCCTGGGGCCGCAGACCCCTGCGTTTCTACCGTTCAGGGTGTTCGCCCGTGTTTGTCCCACCCGCGACCTGCGCGGTCGGTTGATTTCTCGAGTCGGTGTCGGGTGACCTGAGCCCCGTTGGGTTCGGTAGGGGTTGGTCTAGTTCCATGCATTACCCGTCCCACGGTTTCCGCAACCGGAGGGGCTGAGCTAACGTCGCTTGCCTCGATGGCTCGAGTGACGCACTCAGTGAGCTCGCTAACGGGTGCGTTCGAGCGAAATCCGGGTCCGTCGTTCGTTACAGGGTCGGCATAGCCCTCATGTGGCATTCCACTGCTCCTTAACCTGCCTCCTGGCAGATGCCCGGGTCGTTCTAGAGACCGACTCAGGTGGCCCGTTGGCCTCCCCTTGATGGAGATTCTGTTGGCATGGCTCGAGGTTAGGATCGAACGACAAGGTCGAGATGACCTTGTCTGCTTCTAAGCATATCGAGCTCTGTTTGACGCGAGGCGACCTCGAGCCCTTTGTGGGCCAGCCTTCTAATCCCGGTCGGTCGTTGCTCATGTTGAATGAGGCAACTACCGCTTCATGACGCAACACGAAGCGTTGTGATGCATTAAGTGCATATGCGATGCTTTGGATGTATGGGATGAATGAATGATTGTATGAATGAATGTGTGAATGTGTATATGAGAATGGATGAATGAATGATCATGCATCTGAAAATAAAGTAAGAACGTTTGGTAAAGTTACCTTGATGACTCGAGTGATGGGTTTGAGGAGCTCTTATCGGATATGTCCGAATGAGATCCGTGTCCATCATTCGTGACAGCGTCGGCGTAGCCTGCATGGGGCATCCCACTGCCCCTTACCTGTCTCTCGACAGTCGCCTGAGCTATCCGATCGACTCAGGTAGCCCGTTGGTCTCTCCTCGATGGAGATCCTATCGGTGGGCCCTTCCAAGCCCTGCCTGGGAAGGTGGAGGGCCGTTTGCGTGTGGTTGCGCCTTGTTTCCTGT